CTATTCTATTCTATTCTATTCTATTCTATTCTATTCTATTCTATTCTTCTATTCCTATTCCTATTCCTATTCCTATTCCATTCCTGTAATGATCTTGGAAAAAGGGAACTGGAGAAATGTCTGGCAAACTGCAAAAGTCAAACAGGAATATTATTGGGTTTATCCACTTGTTTCATGAAGTGACCATTTGAGAAAGGAGAACTGTACACAGAGAAGCACATTTATGGGGTTAAAAACTTTAGATAACATACTATATTTAGAATAGACATATAAGAGGTTTCCGAAAAGAGCTCAAGAGGTGACTTAAAGAATAAATGCCCTGTACTTCTACATTTTTCAAAACCAAGAAATGAAAACTGATACTGAAATTCATAATTTTTTCACATTTACTTTTAATCGGTGCATTTTAAATTTATACAGACATATCAAAGTTTTTCTCAAAAGGTAGGCATAAGTGCAGTTAACAGAATATTCACTAGAAAAACTTGTATATATGTTGTCTAAAAAATCAGAATAAGAGCATCCTCTCAAACATTTTTCTTCCCAACACTCAAGACTTGGAAATTTGAATAAAAAGAACTTTATGTTAAAAATGCTACTCATTGAAAAGATACTGGCTGCCACAGTAAAGGGCAGGTTAGTCATTCAGCAAGACTAAACAGTAAATCATTTCCTGAACTATGCCACTTCAGGTTTAAGTTAAATTGTGGTGGCATAGTTAAATATTTTGCCATCAAACACATATACACACAGTCAATAAAAATATCACGTCAGGAAGAAAACTGGAGTAGATTATTTTTCAAATGTCAATGATTTCTTTTTACATTAAACATTTTCCTTTTGGAAATATTCAGACGTGATATAGCACAGTATTTACTACTACATTTGTGGTAAATGAGACCTTAGTTTTGAACAAGCAAATACTCAAGGCTAATTCTCCATGTCGTCTTCTAAAATTGCATCTCAGTTTCATGGTCATGCATCAGTATACCCAAGAGACAGAATATCTTTTCTAAACATACACTGTTTGTTTCATTTAGTATGAATATATGCTTTGAATAATTGTCTGCAGTTTTATTGCTAAGAAAAAATTGGCAGTGCATGTATGAAATATCTTGCTTACCTCATCATCACAGCTTATAGAACACCGACCATCAAGAGATGTGCACTGTAAATGGAGAAGATTTATAGTACTGAAACAAGTTTAGAATTTTCATCTTCTGGACGCAAAGAAATCTATAACATTTTGGTATGATATGGTGTGCAATAAAATAAATATTTATTTTGTGTGTGTGTTGGGTTCATAAAACTGTATGGTAACAAGGAACAATTAATTTACTGTTGCAAAATAAGAAACTGAGTCAACACAAAAGTGCACTATATTTGAACGCAATAAATATCTCTCTGATCCAAAAATGTCTTCAGACATTTGGAAATGAGAAATAAATTTGAGTCATCCAGATTTGGTGACTTGTGCCCCACATTTTGAGTGATTTCTCTTGGCACTTGTGTTAAACTCAACTAAAAAAAAAAATCCTGGCTCATTAGGCTATTTAAGCCTAGCTTCATCTTTAATTGATGATGATGACCACATGATGGAATTTATTTACCAAAACATTTTCTGCCAGTTATATTTAACTGGCAGAAATAACAGATTTTGTCAGATGTTTTCCTAATTCTCTCCAGCTTTATTGCTAGCCAGTGACTCAAGTTTTTTAAATACTCAATAATAACATACCTGTCTACTGGCAGTCCAAAATTTCCTTTGGAAGAACTCCAGTTTCATCTGGATACCTATAGCTGATTGAAATAACGAACAACAGGTATTTTAAAAGTTGTTTTCATACAGAGATTTACAAGTCCATTTTTTATAATCTGAAAAGTGTAAAACAAGAGCATGTAACTATATAATTCTACATCAAATGAAAAAGGACAACAAAGTGGGCAGCAAGTAAAATTTAACAAATAGATTTTCAAACTTTTTTATCTGATATTAAACATCTCTGATTCACTCTAACCTCATTTGGGAACCTGGTTAGGCTTCTTTAGCAAATCCTAATGTGTCCAAATATGAATCAAGATTCCTGCAGAGCTCTGAGGAAGTGTGGCAATATCTTGGAGTCAAGATGTCATTCTAATTATGGTGTATATTTCATTATCTAAGAAAAGGTCTTCATTATTTTCTACTATAACTTTGTGCAGCGGTCCCCAATCTTTGCGGCTTGGCATCCAAGTGGGGGGGAGGGGAACAGTGTCATGTGATCCGAGGGTTGGCACACATGCAACTCAACTTGCATGAATGGAGAACTGTCATGCATGTGCATGCACACGCAGCTCAACTGCAAGTTGAGCTATGCACGCATGTACAACGGCCCACCTCTTGTGTGGCCCAGTTCAAAATAGGCCATGGCCTAGTAGTAGGTTGCAGCCCGGGAGTTGGGGACTCTTGACTTAGTGTACATATGTACTGTATATACTCATGAATAAGCTGAGAATTTTAGATTCCAAAATGCAGCTCTAAAACTAGATTGGTTTATCCATGTATGGCATTTTTTAAAGTATATGTACTTGAGCACATGCCAAACCAAAATACTATGAAAAATATGCCACTTGCAGATAAACCAGTTGTGAAAATTTAAAACAAAAATTAAAAATAAGTCCTGCAGAATACATTTTAAAATCATAGAGTTTTAAGAGGCAGCTTATCCGTAGGGACAGATTTTCCATGGTGTTTTGATTAAAAATTTGAGGGTCAGCTTATTCTCAGCTGTGCTTATTTGCAAGTATATACATTAAGACTGAAGTATATAAGTGGCCTAAGAAACAAAAATAGAAAAGCATTTTAATTACATTTCTAATTATATCTAACTACTGTAGAAGAAACATTCCCTTTATGCGTGCTAGACTTTTAGCTATTTTATTGACACATCCATGCTTTTTTTCTACAGAAAGGTGGAAGCAGTTTGTTCTCTTGGAATTTTAAAACTCTTATTTTTCCTATGCTATGCTTGCCTTGCCTTGCTAGCAAGGATATCGCAGAAACATATAAAGGGGCAGGTCATCCGTTACACATTCATATCAGCTATCCTGCCCTTGATCACCTCAGTTGCAGGTCCTTCCGAGTTCTAGTAATGCTGAAGAGTCTCTCATCCAAGTACTAACTAGGCCTGATCCTAACTAACTAGGCCAAGCTAAGATTCAGTAGGAACTGTCACTTGCTGAAACTAACTAACAAGCTTATTTAATATTTACCACTGAAAAAGAGGATTGGGCTGTGCAAAACTGTTATTTCATGAGAAGGGGGAAAAGTGAGAACTATTGGTTTACTTTTATTGGTGTCAGTTTTACTTTAATGATTGGCTGGTGCAGTTTATAAATGGATTATGTAGGAAATCAAATATCAGATAGAGTCTTTTGATCTATTCCAGCTTGCTATTATTCAGGCAGAACACCTGTCATTTTCAGTGGAAAATTTCCTCGCTTAAAATAGATTTATCTCTGTTTTCTCAGGTGTGCAATCCACTATGATATCTTAAACCTTTGGCACATTTGGACACAGATACAATCAACTTAACTCTAGTATTTGGGATGTAAAACTGAAACTGTAGATTCAAAACAATAGCATGATCAAATAAACCTATTACATGATGCTTTGATAGTAGAGAATAGGGAAAAAAACACATTTCTCCCACATGAATTTCATGGGGTCACTGAAGAAATTTGTTTTAAAGAAAGAGAATTGATTTTTAATTCAAGTAGTCATGCTGGGATGTAGTACTGATTTTCTTTCAAGTCTCAAAGGTAAACATATTGTAAATGTCATATAAGAAATTTATATGAAGAAATGAACTACTTGAATTAGTGTATCTTTTTATTCTCTACAGTAAATGTTTAGATGATATCATATTGTAAGGATTAATCAAATATATTCTCGACAAACTTGAAAACTGGACCCTATCTAACAAAATGAAATTCAATGGAGAGAAATATACAGTTCTACTCTTAGGCAAAAAAAAATCAAATGTACAGATACAGATTAGGTGAAACCTGGCTCAATAGCAGTAACTGTGAGAAGGATCTTGAAATCCTAGTGGACAATCCCTTAAATTATGAGCCAGTAGTGTGCAGCACATATAAAAAAGCCAACACAATCCTAGGTTGCATTAACAGAGGGATAGAATCAAGATTACATGAATTATTAGTACCATTTTATAAAGCCTTAGTAAGATCACACTTAGAATACTGCATCCAGTTTTAGTCAATATATTATTTAAAAAAGATGTAATGCACTGGAGACAAATTCCTTGTGTGACCAATACTTGAATACAGCTCATCAGTCTGGAACCCACATTACGTATCTGATATTAATACAGTTGAGATAGTCCAGAAATATTTCACAAGAAGAGTTCTCCACTCCTCTACCCATTGCAGAATACCTTATGCCACCAGACTTGAAATTCTAGACCTAGAAAACCCAGAACTATGCCGCCTTCAGTCCAATCTAAATATAGTATATAAAATTATACATTGCAATGTCCTACCAGTCAATTAATACTTCAGCTTCAACCATAACAACACAAGAGATAGATACACAATAGATACAAACTCAAGGTTAATCGCAACAAACTTGAGTAAATACGACTTCAGCAACAGAGTGGTCAATGTCTGTAATACTCTACCTGACTGGTTTTTTCCTCAAACCCCAAAAAACTTTAACCTTAGACTGTCTACTATTGACCTCACCCCTTTCCTAAGAGGTCTATAGAGGGCGTGCATAAGCGCACCAACGTGCCTACCGTCCCTGTCCTATTGTTTCTTTTATTTTTTTTATTTTTCTTATATGTATCCATGTATTCATAACTATGTTTTTACTTACACCTATTATCCTGTAAGCAATTGACAAATCAAATAAATAAATAAAAATAAATAAAGAATTCTATCTAAAATTAATTAGTGGAGCAGGTTTCCTTCAGAAGTTGTAGGTGCCCCATCACTGGAGGCTTTTAAGAAAAGACTAGATGGTCACTTGTCTGGAATGTTATAGAGTCTCCTACTTGAGCAGGCAGTTGGAATAGAAGACCTCCTTGGACGTCTTTATGTTTCTGCCTTTCTCCCAGGAACTTGAAACTTACAGGGGATTCTCCATGTATTTTATTCCCCATAATAGCAATCCTGTGAGGTAGGTTAACCTGCAAGTGTCTGGCCCAAAGTCACATTATCAGTTTCCAGGGCTGAGGGTGAACTGATTCCCTCCATTCCTAACCAATATTACAATCACTTCGCCATAATGAGTTCTTAGAACAAAGGTTAAAATGACCTATCAAAATAGAGAGCTACATAGGATATTTGACAATCAAGCTGCCTTTATGCTGTTTAGAAAGCAGAAATCTGGAACAGTAACCTGTCAAGTTACTGGATCAGTTGTGGGACAGGGTTTCAGATTCAAAGAATCAGGGCCATCCTTTAAATTCAAGCCTAAACACAAGAATCTGGTCAATTAAAGCTCAACAATAAATTGTTGACCCAGCAGGTAATTCAAGAGGGATTGAATTTGGATTGCTTGTGGGAACACAATGACTCTAAGCTGAGGATGCAATTAATTCTGCCTCCTCCCAGCTCTGCTTGCTCTTCTCTTACACAGAGGTACCTATAATTCTAGTGATCCACTAACAAGTGAGTGGGGCATCCACAACTTCAGCTTTACTCAAATGATAAAGAAGCCGTTTGCATAATTTTGCATTAAATGCCATTATAAAGTTAACATACACAACTGATAGAAAATAGGAATATTGTTCATGGTATCCAGCCACCATTGCATTAAGGCCCATTAAATGAAGTTTCCTTATGTAATTAAAGCCTATTACTATAAAGTACATATATAGCATCTATCTGCAAATAAGTTCCAAGTTGGTCTGTAATACAGAGGGTTAAAAAAAACCTGAATAATCTCTCCAATGTATTTCCTCATAAGGCAATCAGAGAGTAGTTAAGAAGATAAATGCACATTTATTACAATCACACACACAAACACAAATCAGTCACAGATATGGGCCCCACACTTCTGTGTACAAAAATGAGGAAACATTTGTCCTGAATTTTTAATAAGGATGTTGACATGCTGACATTTATGGAGGAGATTACCTGTTAAGGGATATACAGGCTAAGTACCTTAAAAGCAGCTTATCTATTTGTTATCATTATCCACTGTTAGGCATTTCTTTATTTAATATTTGTACAAAATATGTGGCATTTTGTAATCTCTGCAAAGGATAGTAGAATTCTATTTTGTAAAATGATCTTTAGTGCTCAATATAAACATAAAGTACTTACTATATTGGCTGAGAGCTTGGTAGCTTGAAGTACTCTGCTCTTTCATTTTAAGCCATGTTAAAATACAAAGTAATTAGTTAAATCCCAGAAAGATGCTGATGTAAATGGCAATGTTAAGATTTTCCTTTTTATAATTTGCATTTGCCTTGTAGCCCTTCAACATTTTTTAAAGATTAGGGCAGTTGTGTTTGTAATTAATTGCAGGTGTGCCAGGTAAGGTTCCTTTGACATTAACTTCAGAAGTTAAATGATACTCACCAGATCCCAGAAAAGCTCCTGATTCTGAAATTGCTTTTTACAGTATTTCACTGAAGCATTAAGAACAGGGAAGCATAAGGCATCATCCTGAGAGCTGTTAAAGTGGGTGGCACCTGCTTAGCTTCAACCATTTGAAGTCATCAACAAAAATGCAGTATGTTGTGTGTTATTAAAGTGAATGTTTTCAGTTTCTTTTTCAAATGTTATTAATT